TACTACTTTCCCTATAGGTATGATGTGAGACTGGATGAGACCAACGTGACGAAGCGAGTCAGAGGGCCCAACCTACGACGTCTTCTCACAGGCTGCGTCGTCGAACTGCAAGTACTGTTCGTGGGGACTCTTCCTTATAGGTCATCATCGAAATAAAAGGTTTGTAGTCTTGGGTTTGGGCGTTTCAGGATACTTGAGCCTATCACCCTCCGTGAAAAGGACTAAAACATGAGCTCTCTATGGACCATGTACGCTTACCTCTATCGTGGGGCGTAGTTCACCATCGTAACGGCCCCTACCATTGATATTCATCTAGTAGATACCAATTGGCATCCAGTGTATTGCCGTCATTGAATACTCTTATCATCGTTTTCTTTACTCACCATAGAGCTCGCATTTTGCCCTTCGGGGTCTCCTTTCTTCAGGGCCTCATCGCCGCCTATAAACTCAATGGAAGTATCGGTGAGTGTAAGGACTTCGACAAGCAGCTACAGCGTTACGTTGTAAGCAACATCAATCACAACCACAACCGATGCACTTTCTCCTCACTTAGGTTCTCTTAGATGGTGATGTCACGAAGAAAGTTAAACCCGAGAATGTAAAGGTGCTAACAAGCTATCGCAACAGCCAAATCGTCCCGACTCTACAGCAAATACGGTAAGACAGGAATCGTCACCTCTGTTGTGATTCGTTTCCTTTTAGGAGCATAAGAGACAATCGGGTCTCCGTTTCGTTGTCGTATCTCGAGCAGTGGCAGTTGTGTCCGATGCCATGTGTGCTGTCGAGCAAACATCTCACTAATTGGGAGGATATAAAAGGAGATCGGAGAGACAGGGATGAATACTTAGCCAAGAAGCTGGTAGTACAACTCAAGGGAAAATGAATCTTTGAATTCTTCGCGCTGCGCGCATATCATACCGAAAGTGATTATGTTCAGTGTTCGGCCTCGTCTCTTCCGAAGGACTTTGTAGACTCCAACGTCTTCTACGTATCTTATCCTCGGACACAGCTCAATCCGGATCCCCTTTTTATGCCTGGTAATGGCTTCTTCCACTCACTTGGTCTAGGAGCATGCACGTATGTAGATAATCAAGCTGAAGTCAGTCACACATCTGATGATGGGTCGGCCAGTGTGGATCCCTTCGACGAGGATGCCCCGCTGGTAATAATAGTCATCCATTTTGTTCGTAACTATCATGCAGTTGCTCGAAGATCGATCATCT